AAAGAGAAAATCATGAAAGAAATATAACATAAACTAAACGTTTTTTACATCTTAGAATCGGAATAGCTTTTTCTAAACTTTTATACAGGTAGCTATTCTCAGTTCCACGTGAACTAAGATTTCTAATCCAAGAATATGTCTAATTCAATGTGTGAAAATTATGATTGATAATTGATCATAATTCCCCATTGTGACCCCGGTGAAATGCTGCTATGGCAATTCTGTGGGAAGATAGAGAGGTTGCAAACACGGGTTTATGTAGATTGAATAGTTAATGTAGGTGTAAATACATTTTGAGAATTAAGACAGAGGTTAGAGATTGTAGTTTGACTTTAAATAATGCGAGAACTCTCAGATTATTTTTGATGTACATTTCATGGAGTTTTCATTACATCAGAATATCTTACTTAATAGTAAAGAGTGTTTCTGACATTATTCACGTGCATATTCTTTGTAAACAATAAAGCTTTTTAATTTGCTGAAAACATGTATGAAGTTTCTTTATTTCTAAGTTAAGTAATACTTAATTTATACTCTGCTTCACAAATCCTATAGAACCACTTACTCTTATGGTAATAGTTACCTCTTGGCTCAAATATTATCCATGATAACACTGGGAAAGCAAAAAAAAATCATTGATTTTTTTTCATATAATTGCTTTTAATAAAAATTCAAATCCTATATTTAATATATAACCATGCATACTAAACGTTTAATAAAATGTTAACTCATAACAAATGACATCTGGCTAATGTGTAATTTTTAAACTATAAAGTTTCTAAAGTTATATTACTATTAGAAGTTGAAACATCATAATTTTAGTACTTAAGTTGCAGCAGTCTCTGTTAAAATATTATTATACAATGTATAAGGAAAATATATAAGTGAATTAATTATTATTTAGTCTATTATGTGATGAATTTCCAGATTATCCCTTACCTACAAAATATAGCTTTTTGCTTGAGCTATACCACATTTGTCTGTTTTTTTTTTATTGTTATAGCACAGTATAGCATATGTTTGAGCTTCATCAACATAGACCCCAAGCGTGGCTTCCTTCTTTCTGACAATCACTACTGATGATGACCTTCCACTTTTTGAAAATTGTATGACTCCATCCTTCAACGTCTGCTGTATTTCAGTTCCAGCTATATTTGTAGTGCTCCAGGGAAGCCTGCATGACGGTTGTTTTACTGAATGCACAGCACCTGTATCTATATGGTGGTGAGTTACTGTTATGAGATCCAAGTGGCCATATGGTCCCACACATGCATTGTTATTTTGTAGTTCTAATTACTTTCACTTTATTTACCATACCAATGACATTTCAAGCAGGAAGCTGAATATACAAACGTGCCTAATTAAAGAGCAACTTAGGGACAAGTCAGATAAATATTCAAACAAGTGCAGCGTACAATCATAGTTTCCACATTAGGTCCATCCAAATACATGAAACCAAAACTGGAAACAGCTACCATCATCTTGTGGGTGACATTACCTAGAAATAATCAGAGATATGCCGCTCAATTCACATCTAGCCAATCCCATTCACCAGAATAAATTCAGTAACAACAAGGCAGAGTGATTGCCTCATTTTGAGAGCCTGATACACCACAATGTCGATCAGGGATCTGGCAGTTTCAGTATCAACCAATAACCTGACATCATATATATATATATATATATATGTGTATATTTTTATCAACACATATCAAGCACCACCCAGCTCTGAACGAGCTAAACTGACTGCCAAACCTTTCGTTACAATGTGACTACTGTGACTCTAGGTTAATGGTGAAACCTGTCATGGGCTTTATTAGTTTTCTAGAACAGTCATAGCTTGCCTATGGCTTTTCCGTATCTATTGACCAGCTGGGCAGAAATGGTAAATTTGTCTATATTGCTGTTGGGCAAGTTATCAGCAGCTCACTTAAAAAAAAAACCACACAAACCCACAATCAAAATAGATTATTTGATTCTCCTTTCCAAAGAGACATTTCGATAAGGACATTGGTGTAATTTTCTCTCTCCTATGAATTACTCGAATTTATAACTTCGAAGCTAATCGCCACAGATAGTGTCTCCATCAGGGTGCAGATGTATCCAACACTTAACTAAAGCTGTATTGTTTCGCTTGGCAGTTAATCCTGGAACCTATCTATCAAGATATGGTACTCATAAATCTGCTGATACTATGGTAATATATGCCTTCTCATGTATGAAACACAAGTTATTTGCATTAGCAGCCACGTTCTCCAAGAAACCTCTCTTATGAGCCTTGAACTCAGCCCAATAGATAGTTTTGTTCTACACTGGGTTAATCATTAGCACTGTTCAGCTGTGAGTGTATCTCAATTACTGAGCTACTCCTCATCCAAATGCCCCATTGAGTCAAGTTCTGATCCAATGAGACTCAACATTATGCATTGCAGTAACTAGCTTGGAACACTTAAAGGAAGCAGTCCTTGTCTGTACTCTAGAATACTGGAAAATAAATCTGATTCACCTTGCTCAAAAGAGCCTGTGGCTGCAGAAACAAGACATATCTAGTTGGGATCTCGGCCAACACCAAGCCGATACGTCCACAGTGTAAGGGGCTCAATGTAGGAGTGATGCTTAGAGGCACTTTTATTCGGACGAATGTTTGATCCCTGCCTTAGAGATCTTATCTTTCAGCTATGCATAACCCCAGAATTTCTCATGACCTATCATGATTATAGCAGAATGCATCACCGTTCAGAGTAGTTTTCGTCTACCCTATGGGTCACCATCTTCACCACTCAGAACTAATGTCTTTCTTGATGGCGAGACAGTTCCAACTGACAGATTTCAAACACAAGTGGCACCTCCAGTTTCCTTTGACTGATCAGGGGTAAAAACTACGCGGGTTGGGGTCGGGCTTTCCTGATTGGTGACAGTGTGGTTGTTCTATAAATACCTCCAGCCTGCAAGTCACCAAGTTCCCCAGTTGTCTGTCCATGCCTTATGTGTGCCATGGGTAACTTCAGTGATAAAATTTGTTCAGCAGATCAGGACACCTCAGGCTGCATTTCTTCTTCCTAAGTTTGTGGCTAGATCGAGAATGTAAATACCGTCTTTTGCAGCCTTAGCAAAAGGTTTATGTCCTAGAAAGAAGTTATCCTAGACTTTGTTACTCCCTCGGATCGCAGCCTACCCTGATTATTGTGCTCCTTCCACAGTATATTAAGCATTCGTTAAAAAATTGCATTTCCAAGTGTTACTAAAGTACAAAACTTATGTTACACAACAGCACACACGTCAAAGATCATAAAAATTTCGCAAAAACAAATCCAGTGGTCATAGCAGCAAAATTTCATGTTACTATCTTATTCTGTGGTGTTTTTAGGTTCAATGGTTTATATAATGTTAAACAAAGTAAAATCAATTTTTATTTAATACAGAACAATTAAAAGTTAAAAAGCGATGTACACAAACTGTGAGACATTAGATTACACATAGTGACTTTGAAATTCTCTTTCTATTTTCGAGATATCTATTCCTTAGGCTAGAAGAGCATGACATTAAAACAGTAACGCCATCTCTCTCACAGAGTAGGTACTATTCAGGTCATTGGTTGTCCCAAATGTTTAACATTAATAATTTCTAAACTTAAATGTGGTGATGTTACCACAGAAAGCAGGTAGAAGAGTCCAAAAGCAAGTCTCCACAAACATCGTCTAAGAGAAACGTTCAAAGATACCTAAGTAGACGCATGCCTTGACCTTGTGTACTTAGCGCATGAAATAAGTTCAACACTGCACAAGGTGAAAGTCCGTAAGCGCACTAAAAGCATGTATAACTGAAATATTTTCAAAATTTTAGTAAACCAAACAGTTTACCTTTCTAAGCCAAGTATCACACTTGCAACGTTTTGTTGTAAGCCTGTTGTAAATATTGTAACTAGGACTGTAGTTAAAGTTTATCTTTTTAGTTAAATAGATAAACACGTGTTGATGCTGACTTCGTTTTATTAACGTTTTAACATAGCATTAACCGACTACGTGGTATCCATCATGTACAGAGAATACAATTTTGTTGAATGGTTTTTTATGTGCCCCACTGTAAAAACTGTTCCAGCGTGAATGGTCTAGGCTGTCAGTAACTATAATATTGTTTGTTTCTATAACCTCTCAGTAGCACAATGGTATGTCTGAAGACTTACAACGCTAAAAATCGGGTTTTGATACCCGTGATGGGCACAGTACTGATAGTCCATTGCGTACCTTTGTGCTTAATTTCAAACAGTCGTAGTTCTTTCTCTAATACTGCAGTGGATATTCTTGTTTTTCCTTGCTATATGGTCTGGGCTACTATTATCTGCAATAAATATTCTTACGGTGTTTTATTTTATTTTATTTAAAGAATTAGTAAAATCAAATTATATATTTATATTTTCTCCAGTTATAAATCCAAGCTGTTAGTAACTGCAACAGATTTTCTTGTTTTATTCTGCTACGTGGCTATGGTATCAATAACTTTAATTAGTACTTTTGTTTTTGAATAAACATAGTTTTCTTTAAGATTTTAATTTAATAAAATGTTACTTACACGTCATTTAGTAAGATAAACATTAGCTAGTTTCTTCCATCCAACAAGGCCGTTCACGGTTCTAAAGTAATAGGTCGCGAAACGCTGCCTCTATATACACTACGCCATGTTGTTATTACCGGTCAAATATTCGTCGAAATTAGTTTTCCGATCTCAATCCTACATGATTACATTTTAATCTCGGCACATTACTTATGTACTAAAAGTCTTCCTGATGCTAACATGCATTTCTTAGCATAATTAGAAATTTTAATTTCATTCTGTGGTATTTTATGATCTATAATAATACCATGGATATATTTAAACGGTAAAGTGAATTCATAATATTGCTACGCTTCATTGATCGGTGAAATGAAGCGTCTCGAGGCTTCTTGGGGAAAGGAAACGAACTTACCAAGTTCCAATTATATTAGATTGATCCACAAGTCCTACCTCGCGCAGAATAAAATTCCATAGAGAGATCTTCGGCAGGTGTAATTCTGACATCCAATACGAGGAAGTCGCAGGGAAATCAGTGTGTCTGGAAAGATTTATTAGTTTTCGCTTTTAACAGTTTGCTCGTTTTCTTTAAAAACAACATTTCTGACGATTGTTTAGGGTTTCCAAGTTTTGGCCTGTGAGTATTTAAACTAGCCTTCATATTTATTAGACTTAACTACGTCACCGTCTCTCCACAATGATTGGCTAACTCCTTGAATTTTGGAGTTATTATAAAGCAGATTGTATTACAACTAGTCTAATTAATTACAATTAACGTTTAAATAAATCATTAGTTTCTAATGCTTAAGAGTAAACTTGTATATAATTGATCGTTTTCTTTTGGCTAGCCGTGTAATATTAATATAGGGATTGAAAGGGGGCATTTTTCTTGCACAGTTGTGACGCCAGTGACACATAATCCTAAAAACAGTGTCGAGTTGTATGTATATAAAGCGTAATGAATACATTCTGTGTGGTTGAAAGGAAAGGAATACCATCTGCTAAAAGTTTCTCATTACAAACACTTTCATTTCAGGTTCGTATTCCATACTTTCAGTTTGAAAGCTAGACCATAATTTACATATATATATATATATATATTACAAACATTCTCAGTGTTTGTATTCCTAATTTTCAGTTTGAGAACTAGATCATATGATATATATACATTTTATTTACAAGCATAAGAAACATTCTCAGTTGAGTTGTGAATATCACATTAACATATAATAACCAGGTTATAATACACGTTTGTGCATTGTGCATAATGTGTCAATAATGGGCATGGAACGAGTACTTCTATTATGTTCATATGAGTGTTATTTATTAGATCGTAAAGGTGCATATAGTGAGTGATGTCAACGTACCTAGTCGCGGTGAAAACGTATGATGATCTAAATGTTAGGATCTGCAAGTTTCAGCATAAAACATATTGTCATGATGAAGATGAATATTCAGCTAAATTAGAGGATCTGTTGATGCCCAGCGAATAACGAATGTTATGGTGAAAACATACGAGTGTTCAGCGAAACAACAAGATCTGCTGATGCTCATCTTGAAACGAATGTCATGTTAAAGAAGTTAACAGTGCCAATGGATGTTCAATGGTAAACAAATGTAACAGCAGAATGATTATATCGTTGAGTTTTATTTTTAAATACAACTCAAAATACTAAAAGTTTTGTGAAATTAATATAACGATTTAATAAATGTAGGATTAGGATTCTTTTCAGATCAGTAATAATACGATTTCAATTAAAGTTTGTATTTTGGTTCCGTATACAATATCTTCAACTATCATAGGAAATATATGATGCAAATAATTATATTAGTTTTAGCTGAAACACCTATAATCAACAGGGAGGAGTAGCTATGAGGCATACAGTTTTGTAGTGTTTGCTGTTCTCTTAATGCATGATTTTGAAGTCTTGTTTTGTAGTGTTTGCTATTTTCTTAATGCGTGATTTTGAAATATTGTTTTGTAGTGTTTGCTTTTCTCTTAATGCATGATTTGGAAGTCTTGTTTTGTAGTGTTTGCTATTCTCTTAATGCATGATTTTGAAGTCTTGTTATGAACAAACTGGGATGTCCCCTGAAAATTGGTGTAGATAGATATCTGAATTTGTCATCATGAGGTATAAAACTTACTCTGCTTTAACGCTTTCATCAACAAACAACGTTACATTCATAATAAATAACTCGCAAAACACAAAATATTCCTTTCTTGGACACAAAAGTAACTATTGAAAGCAATATTATTAAGCCCTTGTTCATCACAAAATTTGTTTTAGTCCATGCAGTGTTTTTACATGAGAGCATCCTGAGGAGACAGTTTTGGATGAGTAACATCACATTGATTATGTAGTAAAACAAAGGAAAATAGAAATCATGCTGAAAATGAATTGAAGGCTCCATTTTTGTACGATGAGTATCCCCTTGGTTATATGAACAATATTTGTATATTGAAAGTGTGACGGATTTATTATTATATATTTTAATATCAACGTTTGTTTAGATTAAGTTTATATTTAGAAGTATGTATAGCTTATACTGTTAAATATGTATTGCAAAACTCCCGCCTATTCTCTAAAGTTTTAGAAGATTCTCGAGTGTAAGAATCAACAATATATGTATGTACGTAAACGCTTAATGTAGCTTCGTATTGTTACGTAATCTGAATTTTCTAGAAACTCTCCACATGTCTATAAATATAATCAACTCGACCCGCCAAAGAAAGAGTATCTATTATTAGTTTGCTATAGTCACTGTGCTATAAACTTCGGAAGCTATAACTGTGATTGCTTATCAATCGGAAAACTTCAGATATTTGACCAGGAGCATTTACAAAGTTCGAACATTACAAACCATTTAACTTCAGTGGATTCTCATCGGACATTAATATTTTTACGGAAACATTACCTAACGTCATCGGTGGAAAACTCAGTGTGTGTGTGTGGCTGGTGAATAACGAAGGACAAAGCTAGCTAGCTCACTATTAAGTGAATTGTACCTACGTCAACTCGAAATAAACTCGCTCATCGTGAACCTTCGATAAAACACCAAGGAAGTTCCAGACTAAAAAGAAGACTTTATATTGCTTGTAAGTTTGTAAAACTTTTGTATATAAATCATTGTTTGTGATAACTCTTTGTAATAACTGTTATTGTAAATTGTATTATTGGTTATGCATTAAAATATTATTTTATTAAAAAAGAATACCGCGTGTATCAATCTTGTTGGCAAATATCATAAATTGGATACATATCGGCATTTATTTAACTACTAAATTTAAATTATCATTTAGCTCGGTTTCAGGCCATTAGAAATTCTAATACGTAACATAATAAATTGGGGCTCGTGTCCGAGATCTGAACGTGACGACCTCAAAATTTATTTGGATAAAATTTATATCATAATTCAATTTATATTTATCAGTGCCAAAAAAATTTGATCATGTCTGATTATCAAGATATTCTTGAATCACCCTCCCTCGAACAACTAGAAAGATATAACAAAAATTAATTGCTCGAAATTGCTCAAATTTTAGAACTAAAAGTTAAAAGTTCAATAAGAATAAATGAACTAAAAAAGTGCATTATCGAAATACTAGTCGATGATGATTTATTGACTGAGGAAGCATTAGAGGAATACTTTAGTGCACCCACTAGCCAATCAGAGTTGAGTGATAAAGATGAGTTAGAGATCTAGCTAAAACTGAAACAACTCGAGCTTGAACAAGCTCGTATCGAAGCCAAGAAAGAGAAAGAACAAGCTCGTATTGAAGTTTAAAGAGAAAATAAACGTCTCGAGGCTGAAAAAGCTCGCATTGAAACCAAAAAAGAAATTAGATTGAAAGAAATGGAAATTTGGACTCAACTCCGATCGACCAAAACAAAATGAAAACTTTGAACTTAATCGATATGTTAAAGTACCACCATTTAATGAAAATTAAATTGATAAATATTTCCAACATTTTGAGAAGGTTGCCCAAACCATGGAATAGCCCATCGAAAAATGGTCATTATTTTTACAAAGTATCTTAACTGGTAAAGCAAAAGAAACTTATGCTGCTCTCTCTAGAAGATGGTACCAATTATGATAAGGTTAAAGCATCTATTCTCAAAACATACGAGTTAGTACCAGATGCTTATTGCCAAACGTTTCGAGGTTATCCCAAACAAGATGATCAAACTCATATATGGAATTTGTCCACGAAAAAGAGGTTTACTTTGATCGACGGTACAATTCTATGCATATTGGCAACAGTTTCGACACATACTAAGACAGTTATGCCTAATTGAGGAATTTAAACGTTGTGCATGTGACGACCTCAAAATTTATTTGGATAAAAAGAAAGTTGAAACACTACAGGAAGCAGCCGCTCTTTCAGATGACTACACTTTAACACATAAAACCATATTTCATAAAAAGAAAGTCCTACCATCTCAACAAAAACCTGTATCTGTTCAATCCACTAAAGTTAAGTATTCTTCTAAAAATCAAGCTCCTCTAGTTTGAAATCTTCTGACAGTCAGGATAAAACTTCTTTAAAACAATCAAGGCCTGTCTGCCATTCTTGTAAAAAACCTGGTCATGTTATGTCCGATTGTTGGTGTTTGAAAAAGAAGAAAAGGAGGGAACACTCAGTGCATTTGTGACCACATATGGACGTAGTTTCACCAGATCACCTGATGTTGTTGACTTGGCAACTGATATAAAGGCTGATGTAATCCGGGAGGAATTTAGACCTTTTGTGTCTGTTGGTTCTGTGTCTTTGACAAATGACACTGGCAATCCCATACCCATACGTATTCTACGTGATACTGGGGTGACTCAATCATTGTTGTTAGAAGGTGTATTGCCTTTAGATTCGAGTTCTGTTACTGGTGAATCTGTTATTGCACAGGGTATTGAGAGTGGTTTGTTAACATTCTCCTTCATAACAATTATTTAGCATCAGACCTGGTTTTGGGACCAGTTGTGGTTGGAGTAAGACCTACTCTACCAATTAAGGGTATATCATTATTGTTGAGAAACGATTTGACTGGGGGAAAAGTTGTTGCTGAACCTAAAATGGTTAGCAAGCCGATCACTGTTTCATCTAAGAAAGATGTTTTCATTGAGGAGAATCCTGATGTGTTTCCATCGGGTGCTGTGACTCGAGCTCAGGCAAAGAAATTAAGGCCAAAACAAATGACAAACATGGTTTCAGAGGACAATATTATAGATTTGTCTCAGACATTTTTTGGATCCAATGGAGATATTGCAGATGATTGTCCTACTGATCATACCTCGGTGAGTGACATTTATGGACGTGAGGGATTTTATTAACTTGGTGAAAGTTTTGTTTACTAAAAGTAAACTGATAGTTGAGCAAGAAAAAGATCTGCAGATCTCTTCACTATTTTGATATGCACTCCCAAAAGATGAACTGGAGAAAGTTCCAAATGCTTATTTTCTCAAAAATGGTGTGCTTGTGAGGAAATTGAGACCGCCAGATGTGTTAGCTTCAGACTGGGCTATTATTTATCAAATCGTTGTTTCCAAAGCATATCATTCTGAAATATTGAAAGTTGCCCATGAACTCCCCATAGGAGGTCATTTAGGTGTCAAAATTATGAGACATTTCTTTTGGCC